TAGTGCTTTCTCACCCGTTTCTCCTGTCTGCCTGTGTATATACGGAATAGTAATAATAACAACATTAGTATCGAGCTATCTATTGGTGATTCTGATTGGCAAGTGTTGCTCCTTGAAAGAAGTTTCCTTACATAATTTAGCGGTTGATATACTTTTATGGTTGAACATTTTCGACAAACATGGCAAAATCTCATTCTAGCATCTACTTTCTAATAAAAAAAATACCCTGTAGATTCGCGTTCAGTCTTTAAGGTTTCATAAAACTCTAGAATATTCCCATAGTAAATAATTCTATTAAGAAGCATTTTTTTTTTTGCCTAACTTTAAACATTTTCACATTGACACTCTGTTTACAAGAACAGTTTTACCTCGCAGCTGTACTTTCGGCCATCATTATACCAGACCAAAGCACTTGTTTAGATACAGGAGATCGTGAGTGTGCTTTTTGCTCGTCAACTCAGTGGCACAGTAAGTAAATTACATTGTGTCGACGGCTATGAGGTTGGAAGTTATCTTTCCAAAGATAGTGGCATAACGAAGTATACGAAGGAGGTTTCGCATTTAGAACCATTACAAACAGGAGTTTTGTACGAACAGTACGTTACGTTTTTACGTCATACTCGTAAGAGGCAAAATTGCTACACGAATATTGCGCTTGTTGTTCGAAGGTACGTGCGGATCTGTACTTCGATCGTCCGTACCTACCCTTGTCGGCAAATCAGCATGTATTATCATGCAAAACAATTTTCTATCTGTATAAATGCCCATGCTCATAGGGCAGATCATCAAACCTGCGAGCTAATATATAACTATACTCATGTTGACCAAACAAGGATCAGAACGCTGCGAACTATAGCAATCCCATATCAGGTTAGTTGAAAGCGGCGGCGCGGCATAACATCCTAGGGTACCTATATATAATAGCAGTCAAACAGCTAAAAGTGAAGAAACCATCTATCTTCATCCAACGGCGATGTTTGTCAAGCTTAACATGCCAAAAGTCAAAATGAACTTTATTAGCATTATTTATAGATTAAGAAGACATTTGCTATTTATTATTCATTTATCTACAAATTTAAGTTAGTTAATAAATATAATTAAATGAATTCAACAGTGTAAAAAACAGTAAACAACAAACGTATGCGGCTGTGATAAGATGTTCTGCATATTGCAGAACAGTCGGAGTACGATGCTCAGGTAACATTCGTTTCAACTGCGAGATATGATTTAGTCTGCCTACAGAAGAACGGAACGATAAAGGCACGTTTTCCTAGAGAAAACGACTTCGTCCGCACGACGAGAATGAAGACACGTTTATACATAATGATCAATTTGATAGTCTTTGAAAAATTAGATGATAGCAAAAGTATTCATCTGTACTAAAGCGGCTCGAATCCATAACGTCTCATTGAGATCGTATTGGTCAAGTGATTCATGCAAATAGAAGACAAAGGTGTATGGTGTCTTCGTTACTTTGCCTCTTTTTACACGCATTCCGTATTTGCTGATCGACGCGTGCGCAATCGTCGAGAGGTATCGTGGCATCCGGAGGCGCTTTTAATATGCGATCTATTGTATTTTATTACAAATTGACTACTGGGTCTTTCCAGCGATACACGGCGTTCGAGAGAAATGTGTTGTGACCAAAGCAAAAGCGTAAAAACTTATTCATACCATAGCGTTTGTGTGCGTCGCGGCAAATTCACTAGGCAATGCCTTGATACCGTCGTAGTGCTTTCGCTTTTCATACGTTTGTAGTATACGCTAGTTATATTGTTGTCAGGAAGATAGAAGATCAGAAAAAGCGGACGATATAAGACCTGCGACGTTCATAAGTTGAATTGTTTGTATCGCTTCACACCACCGGATTAGCGCGACGGAGACTATATCGGGGAGAGGCAGTCTGAATGCTGTTAGAATTCAGTTGCCACCAAGATATAAGTTAAGCGTATGGAAGTCGATACGAATCCATTAAGGTTTCTTCAAGTTATAAACGACACTGTCCCATTGACCATCCGTGGCGCATATCCCATATTATCGAGACCGCAAGCGGTCGATTCCCGTTCGGTGTGGGGACGGCTACTTGTATATGCTCTGGGTCACGCACAGTGGTTCGAATATTTCTCACGGTTCCAGCCATGTGCTGCTCCGGCGAATGATCAGCAATACGTTGAGGTGGCATTCAGTGTCATAGTTGAGCCTCGTGTTAAGAAAACAGTACAATCGAAGGCATAATTTCGAACTTTCTTTTCGTTGCTCGCAAACCCTCGAGCGAGTTTTGGCTTCAGCTGCTGTTACATTTGTGTGTCAGCAGAAGTTTATCAGAAGACGTAATTCTTACAAACCAAGCTTACCTGTCGTCTACGGCAACAAATTATAAAAGCAAATAAATATCCATTTTAGTTTAACAGTACACACACACAATATTTTTCGTGGATCCTTTTATATGGATTTGGGCCCGACGTTCGTTATTACAATGGGCTAGCGCAACTTGACGAGACATGTAAGCTATTATTCATACCGCACATGTTACATGCCCCCTAAATCATATATTGCCCACATAATTATGTAGTCTCATACTTAATCGTCGTTCTTACTGCAATTTTAATTTAAATACAATGATATATTTGGGCTTCTAGTTCATGATATGTTTTCTTCAAGCGTTAACCAGTTATTCGTACTAAGCTGCCTGGGCGGATGTTTCAATATAGCTCTATTTTTTGGCAAAACCCCTAAAATAATTATTTGGTCACATTTGTTTGTCACGATGTTTCTAGCTAGCATTTTGCCGAATAGGCGGACGGTATCGCCGAAGCCGAGCGTGAGATTTGTGTGTGCTTCAGTATTACTTACTGTAATAATAATAAAACACACGGCTATTGCACACCTCGTCCTTCTTGCTATCGCACCGATAGCCCATAAACTGTTTTTGATTTGATCGTACTAGTCTCGTCCGTTCACACCGTTTCGTTAAAGCAACCTCTTTTTAAATTAACGCTTTTACTGGCTACTTAACTTATGATGGTCAGCAGAACTGTAAAAAACGGCAAACGACCCGATCTCTGAACAGCAACGACTTTTGCCTTGTCAAAATTAGGCGGTTTGGAAGATTCGTTCTTCCGGATCGCATCTTCTCGAAACTCCTACTATGCCTCGCGAGAGAATGCCTCGCGACAAATGCAATGTCCGACAAGGCCTTCAGTCGGTATCTCACGACGTCGCGTAAACTGGGGACAAAAAAAAAAAAGCTAAATTATAAACTAATCACGTCCCCTCAAATGTTTACTGTATTTTTGTCAAACAGACTCCACTACTATTTTATTCTTGGTTTTATCTGCAGGCGGATTTCTGATGAACGTTTTAATAACACGTCACGTCTTGCAACTAAAGTTGAGTAATTGTCTCGCTTATGCGACCCATGGGTGGAAACCTACTATTCGTTCACATACTCAGATAGATTTTATAACTTCATGGAACGTTCTTGCATGGCAGCGAAGGTATCTATGCTTCTGCCAAGGGTCCCGTTCGCTTTTGAGTTTGGTTATCTATCACTTGTTTATCTATCCATACATGTCTATTGAAGTGCGTCGATTTGTTCGAGATATTCGCTATGGTATTGCCGGCGGTCGAGACAAACGGCCTGCCACTAGTTAGCTATGTTGCCATCAGTTTTAATACTACTTTTACCGACACTTTAAGAAAGCTTGTTCTCTGTATAGTATACGTAATACGTGTGATCTGCGAACTGTAACAAGCTTCCAGTGTTTCCAATGGAGACCGTGTCGAGCCGGTAGGTTCCTATCGACAAAGTAGAAAACTTCCGTTCATCATTGATTTTACCGTTGCTTTAAACAAAGTTTCTCAGTAGGGGAGAACGTGGATGACGAAGAAGTGGACGACGAAGGGCTTAGTGAATAAAGAACAACCGATTGGGGCAATTGCAAATTACACATGCGACACCGGCGACGATGGATTCTACTTTTTAATCAACCTATAAACAACAGTCTATAGCCAATTTATCCACGATTGCGTCCCGAATCATTAGTAACGGAGATAAGATCTCTAACTCCCGCTGTCTGCTGTTCTCCACTTGCTGCAATGGGCAAGCTGTTTCCGGTTTGTTTGGCAATAGTGAATATACCTTTTAATGGCACACGGTTGGGAACTGGCGGATATAGCACGCTGTTTTGAAATATCAGAAGTTATGATCAGAAGAACGATAACTGTCAAGATATTCTTAAGTTGCTGTAATAGCCTTTTTGGCGCCTCTGGCTAAGCGGCTGGTAACAAGTACCAAAAAAAAATACGCGCCAAACTAGCGTGTATCGTAATTCCGACACGAAGCCATTGCCGGTCATAAATGATTGACACTTTGCCTTATTGAATCGTTTTTAATTTCGTTGCCCTGTTCTTTTTGCTCTCGTATTTTCCCCTGCTAGAAACCCCCGTGGCCGTTGAGGGGTTCCCTTGTGCTCAAGCAATCAGTAGGAATCTCTATGGACAGTCAATTAGCGTGTAAGCGTGAATCACTCAACCCTTGTTGTGAGAATAGAAACTATGCCAACAGCTGAGAACCTTTCAGGGACCGACGCTACTGTGACCATTACTGCGGGCTTGGCAGATAGGACGCGGTGCGACAGCGTTTATGGTTTTGTTGGATTTTCATTTCGCTTAGCGTTGCCTTGTGTCTACTTTCCTTGCACGCGTAGGACACACGCATAGATGCACACAGAAAGTGAAAGTGTTTCGCGGGTCACGTGTCGACGACAGCATGCGACGTTTGTTTTCAGCTTCGGGCCTTCGGCGGCTTACCGCCCTGATCTCTCTCGCCAGGAGCCCGCAGACCTGAAGCTGCTGTTGCCGCAACTGATGATGCTGCCATCGCTGGGACACAAACACTAGCACCGCTGGCTAGAACAGTGGAACTTGCCACAGCACCCCGTCTGTCGATTCGTTTTTTCGTGTATCTGCCTCAATGTCTGATAGCGTGTCTTGCTCATGCGCATGCGCTGTGAGTCTCCCCCTCACAGCCGACCACTGGTAGTGGCTAGAGCCCCGTACAAAACTAGCTGTCCCCAATAGCGCATGTCAAAACTGACGCGGACATCATCCGTATCTCTTTAAATCGTGTTTTGTTCTGTCTCAACAATTGATTTGGTTACCACTAGATGGCAATACAGTAAACAACGGCAAAAAAGCAACAAGCGAGAATTTTCGGCGCGTTTTGCTAATTTATGATACAAAAAAGTTACTTGTGAATACGAAGAACGAGAACGACAGAAAAGGACGAAACTGTAGGACACACTAAGGAGTATACTACTAACTTATTGTATTTATCGTGCGTGAATGTGTTGGTTCGTACCGTAACACTCAGCAACAGCGGGGCGGAAGCTGAAAAACTAAACCACAGGGAACGCCGCTTCACGTCAAAATGTTTAAAGGTATGCCCGATAAAAGTTGTACGCTGTTTTGAGTGAAAGCACGCGCCCAAGATACGTAAACAATGAAGGATGTATGATATCGATGTGAGTGTGAAAGATCAAGTGTAACAAAGCTAACGTGCCCGACGCACCCAGGATTACGTGCAGCGACACCGACTATCACCTTCTTACACGCTCTGCCCACGATCATGATCGTTCGATCGTTGATCTTTCGGTGAAACTGGATGGCCTCCGTCGGAGCGCTGGAGTTAGGTAGACTCTTGGTTAGGCGGAGGCGGTAATAACCAATGGGGGGTAATATTCGGGATTAACATAAACGTAAATTCAGTACGGAGTGTAGATTTTTGCAGATACAGGGAAGGCGCTCGGGAGCAAGTTTTACTTAGAGCCTTGTTTAGGTTCCAGGGTATGACTTGATCCTCCTTTAGACTTTTTCAATGTGAAAAAGATTACAAGAAATTGAGTGTCAGATCGTTCGCACACGCCCTCTTTGCGCACCGTTCAACATTAGATGATCTAAGCAGATGTAGTGGTTTCTGGATTTTTGTGAAGGATTAGCTAAAATCTTCTGCTTATCCTTATCGGTAACTTATTACCAATATCAACGAATATATTTCAAATCGGTTCTCTTTTGTTGCTTGAACGTTTGCTTTATGAAGCTAAGCTTAATAACTGTAATCGTCGCGATACCTCAGACCCAATATGACTAAAGAAAATAAGCGCGCTAGCGGATACTAAGCGATAGCATTAGCGAGAAGACTGATACAAATATTGATTGGATTGGACACAGGCGGCTTCATCGCAAGCTATTTCTGCACAAAGCCGGATACGTTACTAATCGGCTGGAGTGACTATTTGAACTCCACGAAATGTTAATAGGTTTTCTATTAGTGTTCTGCGTGGATAACATTGTCACTTCTGGGTTTTATTAAGGAATCACCCCATACGAACCGAAACGAACAAGGCTGAGTGGTGGGTAATGTTTATTTGAAGCTGATTCTTGAATGAATCAGCCCTGTTTCGTAGCAAGTACAAGAAATGGTTTGCTCCAAAAGCGACGGGCTCATTTAATGATACGAGCACTAGTTAATCACGGATCTGCTGGGCAATCTCTCGTTTTAGGTACAATCGATTTCTTTCTTTTTTTTACTTATCAAGTCACACACCTGTTAAAAACTAATTAAGCTATAGTCAACAAGCGCTGTTTGTAATACTTGGAGGATTTTCTACACAGCTTCCAAAGCGATATGTTTTAATTGACTAGTTTATATTGAATGCGTCTAATTCCATCCAAAAGAGAAAAGACTGAATTGTGATATAATTATCATTGGACATATTTGTACAAAGTAAATGGAGATACTATTCATATAAAGCGATACCCCAAAAAATAAGTATAAAATATAACCGCGTTTTTATCACTGAATTCTAAGCAAGTCGCGCTAACGCAGACCAGTCGCGTGTTTGGAAGACTAATGATGCCGGCGGTATCCAGGCTGCCTTTATATATCTTTTATGACAGAACTGGTATAAAAGGAAATATCACAGAAATTACGCAACGTCTGATATCGAAATTATTTCAACAACACGCGTTACGCAATCGCTTAAACATATCCAAATCGCCGGCCTTAGCTGACCTAAACTGAGACGTATAAAGGGTCAGCGGTAATTTTTGTGGAACCCCTTTCATCACGCTATGCACTGAGTCTGTGACGTATTCGCTAATGTCCAAAATCGCAGCTGGAGCACACCTGGAGCTCTTCGCATATCAGTAATCGTTTTAGATCAGATCAGGATCGTTTTATCGGCTATTTGTATACAATTTCCTTATACAAGTCAGTTATAAAGTTGAACGATTAAGGGATACAATGTTAGTCGAATAACGGGTTACAATGTGAAAGTGTTAAACAATTACAGAAAAATAGAACCTCGTTCAAGTTACGGCGCTATTGTACATATGTATGTATACTGTATGTATGCATGTACAGAGATTATTAAATTTTCTATAATATCCAGTGATTAAATACGAACCAAATAACCACTAAGTGTTTAGATTATTGGTGATCTATTTCCTTACATACTTCCTTATTTGAAATTCTACTGACATTGTAAGTATAATGATCGTGCAAAAATCTGTTCCATCTATAAGGAATATGAGCCACGAGGCTGAATGAATCGTGTTCCATTCCAGCGTAAAAACGTGATCTGCCTCTGGAAGTCCAAACGCCAGTTAATGATGACGCACCCGCCGTGTTTCTTATACACCCTTTTCAAAGAAGCGGCCATATCATGTTTATCTATCGCATTCTAATCGACTTGTGCGGCAAACGTATCGGAAAAACTGAAATGTCACATCTATCAAACGGTGGAGGCTTGGCCTGCTGACAATTGCATAGGCCCGAGTCTCGGATCAGCTGGCCAGTCAAACAGTTATCATCGTACAGCTATATTATGAGCCGACTCAATACACACGGTGAAAAAAGGCCACGCTTTGGGGTGCTACGGTCCATGTAAGGCAAATCATGACGAAAGGTGTTTTTATTTAACGAGAACGATTCTCGACTGAGCGAAGGTACGCGTAAACGGATCCTCCTCCATCGCACACGTGCAGCATATTTGTAAACAATAGCAACACCTAGAATTCATAAATAGGAACGTTTTGTGCACGGATAACTCTTGAGAAGTGAAGCAAACTGTCCGGTTGTCAATCTTCAGTGAGCTAGACGCTGTTTTTTAATTTTTTATTAATAGTGCTTCTGCACCACCAACTTAGAATATGGCCATACGCGTACTGCCGAAATTAGGTTTCGAGGTTCTCGTCGATCAGGTTGTTTTATGTTTTTTGACATAATATAACAATCTATCTACTAGTCGAGCTTTCGATTTATTTGCTGATCGAACAGGTTCAAAATAAACAGAAGCATAATACATCGTGCAATAGCTGTCTTCGCTAGAAGCCGGTGGACGGTCCCGGACATCGAAACTAAGCCAGACAACCTTTAATCTTTCCCAGGAACTCGTTCAATAAGGCTGTTAATACTATTACTGCTTATTCTTATTGTTTTTATCTTTCCCGCTGTTGACACATCTTCACTTGTTATGATTTATATAGCTGTGTAGCGCGACGTTGTCACCGACCATACACTTATTGAAATAATACTACCACTGGCTTCTCTCCGACCGAGCAACTGCCTATCAGTTAGCCATTGTCACCGAAAAAAACTGGCATCTCCCAGTTGTCCTCTCGTAGCTCAACCTTGATCGATTTTCGCATTTATTTATTATGTATTCCATCGGATACAGGACATATAGAGTATGTATTGGATTCCTTTGCGCAATACTCACGTTGAAAAGGCCTGGTACAATTTTCTGCCTTGTTTATAGGCGCGTGCGAAGGGCGACGTACCAAATAGGGCGAAAGTTAACTGAAAACATTTCTTTGACGCCAGTTATTTACCCTGTCCTGTTTCAATAACTTGAAAACGAAGCATTTGAAAGGGTTAAGTGACTCTTGCCTAGCCTAGATAATTCGACAACTTGTTGAGATTTCAAAGGGTTTCGAACACTTTTAACTTAATATTGAAGCAATTACTTCTTATATGTTAAAGTAATGTCACCAAACAAAATACGAGCGATTTTAATCAATGCCATTTTTCCAATAACGCCATTATCTCATCAATGAAACCTCTGTAAATTCGGGGCGAAAGAATTGCTACAAATGGTCTGTGCGATTGAAACTCTATTAAAATAGAGTCCTGCAGAGACGGAAACAAATGATCATTTAACAATCTAAAATTCGAATATATAAATATATATTTTCAGTTTTTGCCGGGTGACTAAAGATGTGTACGTCCTGGATTTGTCATGACAGAAGACGACCCCTTCCGTCTACTAGCTTCAGTCTCTTTCTTTTCAGTTCGTAACTAACAGCGAAGGTCCCAATCAAACGTTTTGTCAGGCAGTGACAACTCATAATGCACGATTCCTCTCCGATTCCATCAAAAACATAGCATCATACCTTTCGGCGTCAGTATGGGTTTTGTCATAGATTGTAGAACACTTTCCCTGTCTTTTCATTTGCTATATGTGACCCAGGGTTGGGCATTATCTATGATCAAATACTTTGTGGATGGCAAATGTAACAGAGTAAATTCTTACGACGCATCAACTCGTGTGGCACTCAAATATTAGGCCCTTTTTTTTTGTAGCAAGCTTTTTTTTTAATTAATTTAATACTATTTACTGGAGGATGTTTATTTCCCTGGCTCAATAATGGCTATCAACGTGTCGGTCTCGTGCAAGTTTCTCAATAATTTGATCAGTTTTTTTCCCCCGAAATGTATTAGTCACTGCGGTAAGGATCTCTCATAGCGATATTTCCAGAACCAAGGTGACAAAACAATCCTTAAGCCGTTATTTCCGATAACGCATCAGACCTTGTATTGGCCTAGGTGGCATTTGTGCCTTTCTAGTAGTAAAATCGTAACGTCGAACAAATTTTAGCAAATACGTCAAGGCGCTTTATATTATGTCTGACTAAAGATTTTGACAGATCTTTTTTCGTCAAACCTCAGCTTTCAAATAACGCAAACGCTATTTACGATACCTGAAATACGTGATTTTAAAATCATCTAATTAAGAAAACAGTAATACTTTCTCGACAGCCTAATACAGTCTTTATAGATGAATCGACGGTTTCCTTTATTTTTTTCGATAGAAATAATCTGGCGCTCGATACGTCCACTTATCTGCCTATATCGTCCCTTTTTCGTTGCTCTTGCTACCATGTAGGTAGAAAAAAGTGAGCTCTATAGAAAAGGAATGGTATTCTACATTGGTCTACACGTTTAGCGTAATAGCGCAGGTGAGTTCACGTTTTCGTACGTTTGCCGGCTACGTGCAAATGAATCCAGCATATGAACGGTCGTCGTTCGATTTCAGTGCTGTAGGACTGATGCTTAAGTAGGTGTCGAAATATATATGGGATGCTTGCGGCTTGATCC